TTTTTTTTTTTTTTTTTTTTGCCAATTTTGTTATTGTCGTTGCTGCTGTTGTCACTGCTATTACTGGACGAAGAATTTCTGTACCTAAGTCACTTGTCGAGCCTCAAAACCTGCAGTATCAAGCAGAAGCACAGTATCAGTGGATTTGTCGGCCTTTTACAGGATGATGATCCTGTGATGCTTAGCTTAGTCTCACCAAACGTGTCTTGATGTTGTTATTGATGATGATGGTGTTGGTTATGATGCTGATGATGATGGTTATTTGAACTAGGGTCGGGCTTAAGCACATTTAATGAAGTTAGTTAGGTGTTAAGGGCAATAAGACAAGAGAGTATGTAGTTGCTTGCAGTCGGCAGTAGGTGAAGTTGACGGTTCAGGCAATTCACTGTAGTTTCACATAATTCTGTGTAAATCGGTACCTGTTGATGCCGTTGTGTTAGTTAGTAGGAAAGGAAACTTTTTTTGTTGGTATTAGGCAGGTGGTAATTTATAATTTCATCTAGAAACTTCAAATATCGATTCCGGTGGTAAGTGAAGTGGTGCTTTACTTTGCCGTTAACAAGAATTTTAAGTTGTGCTACCACTACGTCGGCAGAAAGTTATAAGTTGTCCGGACTGTGTCGCAATGATGCAATTTTTTCATGCATTTGATGGAGCAACAACCATCCAAATAAGTCATATAATTGGAACAGATGAGTTTCGTGTTCCATGTTTTATCACACTGTATTGGTTTTCTGCCAAGTAGTTAAGCGTTAGCCGACTACTATACGCGTAGTTAAGTTGTTTTAGAATTCTCACAACGAAGTATTTCCTTGTCCTGAATCTGGTGTACCATTAATTAACAAGAATTCACTATCGACTAGATTTTGTTGTTAAGCTTTATTAAATAATAGTGCTTTATGCTAGACCATTATGATTCGACTCCATTACCAGAATACATTGTTGTCATTTCGTTTTCAGAGAGGATCTTCTCACTTGCATGTCATAAAGTTCTTTCGTGTAATTGCGGATACTACTTTGGTGTCTTTGCGCTTTTGACCTTCTAAAGTATTAGCGTCTGTTCCATTAAGTGTTTGTTTTCTTCGCTGTAGTTTGAGGTTTCCACTTATGCTTCTTCTAGCTAATTTATTCAAAAAAAATGAGTGGACGTTGGCGGACGAAAAGCGAAGCAAGCGAAGAACGGTGGAAAGGAAAAGAAGAAGAGGATCCTCGTTGGTCTAGGCGGGATGAAGATCGTCCATCACGTAGTGGTCCACCAAGAAGGATGACAAGTCGCGAACGTTCCCCTCGTCGACGTTCATCGCGTGATCGTGGTCCGCCTTTTCATTTGATTTCAGTCACATTATTGTCGCCTTTGCTCTGAAATGTAATTTAGACGTTTGGGTTTGCTAGGCTCTTCAGGTTGGGTGTGCGGAAATTTACTTTACTAGCCTTAGAGTCCCGAAAGTTATGGTTGCCGGAATGAGGAGCATTTGTCGACATCCTCATAATTTATCTGTTTATGGCAGTAGAAGTTCTGCTTGAGTATTTTTGGATAGCGTTTCGCCGAGCTTTTTTGCTCTTTGAGGAAGGTGTTCGAGTATTTGAAGATTTGGTGAAAATCACTTGTTATCACGAATTATTCGTCTTTTACCTGGCGGTCTATATAGCGCATTTTATGTTGCGTGTTACTCACCACTTCTGGTAATGAAGTAGGCAAAGCAAAAGTTGAGTATGAAAACTTCTCTTCTTGGTTCTTCCGTTTGTGGCGAAAAAACCGGCTTTGCGAGTTTAAAGACTTGTCTATCTCCTCAGTGTTAGCTAGGTGTTCAAATTGTAATCGCATTGGAAAATTGGATTTAAAAGCAACAAAGTTTTGTAATGTCGGCTTCCCTGTATCAATATCTTATTTTAGTGTATCTTTTGACTTCGATTTTGACTTTAATTTATTTAGATGGCGGAAGACGTAACTATCGCAATGAAGGGATGGTTTATATTTCCAATATTCCTTACGATGTGCGATGGATGGAGTTGAAAGATCTTGTTCGTGAAAAGGCTGGTGAGGTGAGGTTTGAGTTCTTAATTTGTTCTAAATTTCATTATTTTTTTGCGCTTTTCGTTTCGTTGTCAACAAAAGAGTTTCTTTATTTTTTGTATCGTTAGGCGCATGTATTCTTAAAATTTATAGATCAGTCTTGGTCTTTTACTGCATGACCTAAAAAAACTTTAGTTTTTGTTTGCCTCGAGTTCATCTTATTTTTTTCTTAGGTATAGGGAGGATTTTTTATTGTTTTTACCTTAAAGTCAGGCCAGTTGTTGTATTTCTTATAAAAGCTCAGAATCAGAATTGGAGCTTAGATTATTAAAAAGTTTTTAAAAGAACGTGTTTCTTGTCTTCATTTATACAAGTTTTAATTTCGAACTTTATGGGAGCTCGGCTCAAAAAAGCTAATGTTGAGAGAGGCATTGTAGTGCATTATAGTTTTTTGGGTATTACTTCAAGGTATTTCTGTGAAGTGGTGAGTATTTTGCTTATATTGAAGCTTATCTCATATTTGCATATTAGTTCTTCTTAGATTTTTTAAAGGGCTTATAAATTACTGCTTGAGTCTACTCTTTCCTAATTAACAATACGATTTGTAGGTGATATTTGTGGAAATTCTTGAAGATCGCAATGGCAAGTCGAAAGGAGCTGCTGTTGTAGAGTTTCGAGAAGAAAAATCTGTTCATCGTTGCATTGAAAACCTTCATCGTTTTGCAATGAAAGATCGATTTTTGAGTGTTAAAGAGATAAGAGTATGTCTATTTATAGACTTCTAAAAGCGATATTTACTGTGTACAGTGTATGTATAAAATCATTTACGAACTCAATTATGCGTAGATACAGAACGGTCAACCATTCTTGGGAGTTTATTGTGATAAGTTGTGCGGTTTCTAGACTGAAAAATTACGTTGCAGGATCCTGTTGCATTCTTTCGTAAAGTCAAAGATGATACTGGAATTGACTTTTTAAATGGTTTACATGGAGCTCCTCAACCGGAAAATCGTAATCGGGAAGAATTTGAGACTTATGGTTTAAGCCCAGCATTCCTTCGACAGTTAAAAATTGATGGACCTCTTACAAACCGCGTCTTTGTTTCTAATGTTAGTAATTGTTTTTAGTATGGTTCCTCTAATTGCTTAAAGTTTTTTTAATATTACTGCTACGAAGTTTTTTTTTAAAGTAGGATTTTCAGCTTCCATATAATGTACAAAGCGGTCGTATCTATGACATTTTTTCGTTGGCCGGTAAAGTTACATGGGTGGATCTACAGCTGGATAAGGAAGGCAGAAGTAAGGGAATGGCTGTTGTCCAATATACGCATCCTATAGAGTCTGTCCAAGCAATCTCCATGCTGCATAACCAACGTCTTTTTGATCGTGTCATCAATGTTAGGATAGACAGATTTGAGCCTGATGAGAAGAGAGAAGGCGAACTGCCTCCAGGACTTCGTGGTGTTGGGATGGGTTTAGGAGCAAATGGTGCTCCTCTTGGAGATGTCAGTTCAATTATATCCACTTTGGGAAATATTGGTGGAAGCGCACCGCACAGTTTGCTAGACCAAGTTTATACTAATCCAGCTCAAGGGTACCCATCTCCTTTACCCTTCACTTCCTCTACATCTTATGCTGCGGTGGGAGTTGGGAGTTCTTTCCCGGGTGGTGGAACTTATAATTCTCCTTCATTAGCAGGTAGCGGGAACAGCTATAGCAGTCCGCGTTCGATATTAATAAAAAATGTATGTTAATTTGTGCTATCCTCTTTTCTTTATCTTTTATAGTCCATTTATCTGTTATTTTGTAGTATTGGTTTGCTGTTTTTAACTTCCTGACATAGTGTTGTCTCATATGCAATCGTTCAAGGAGGTTGTGGTCTACCCTACGCTTATCTCTTTTCAGTTGCCCTTAGATTACACATGGCAAATTGTGCGTGATCGAGTTCAGCAATTCGGTGTTGTTGACCTTACAGAAATGATTGCTCCTGGGTGTGCAAAGGTTACTTTTCATCTAGCTGCAGATGCAGAGAAGGCACGAAAAACGCTTCAAAATACAACTGTTGAAGGAAGGATGATTGGTGTTGAGTTTTTAGCGTAGATTTGTTATTATTTTATTTAGTTGCTTTATTTGTATTGGTTTCAAAAGTATTTACTGCTAAAAAAATTCACATTGGGGGTGGTAAAATGGCAGATTTTACAATTTGTTTTTCATGTTTTACCGAACTTGAGGGATTTTGAAGATCATGTCAACGTTGTTTTACTAATATTAAGAATATCTTTTTTTAGTGAAACTTAGTGCTATATAAGCAATTTGCATTGTTGTTTTTTCTCTTTTTTTTTTTCTTTTTTTTTGTTTTTTGCTTTATTTGATTGTGTCATATGTTTATTTTTTTTTGATTAAATGGATTTGTCTTTTTGATAATTATTGTGTTACGATGTTGACGTATTTTTTTTTCCAAGGATATGGCAGAAATTCCGTTGGAAAATTTTGCGTCTTGGTTTTGTCTTGTTTTCATACATTATTTTCTCTTTTATATGTCTATGTGTCTTTGCCAGTTAAATAATGATTAAAACTGTATAGGACTCCACCTGACATCTAGTGTGTGTGAGACTAATAACTTTCAGTTGTTAATATAAACTGTAACTTGTGCATCTTCTTCCTTGTATACACCGAACAGTTTGCTTTGTGCTGGACGCAGAAAATTTGCGAGACTTGTGGGCAGTGCTTCTTCAGTAATGAGAAGGGGGCTTGTCTCTTCTCAAAATTTTTAAATTTATGCATTTTGAGCAGAAAAGGTAAATTCACCTTAATGTTACAAGAAAAGAAGTCCTCTACAGAATTCTTGCGTATAGTTGTAAAACTCGTGACCAATTTCGGCTGCCAGCGGCTAGTGCGTCATAATTTCTTCTAAAGCAGAGACACTATTAAGCATCGGTGCTCTGCTCACCAATTTGGAGTCCGCTAGGCTTCTAAAAATTCAAAGCTAGTGCGCAGTTAAGGTTCTACGGGCTAGCTTTCTATTGAAATCTACCTACTTTTTCCAAACGAATATCCTTACCACTTTCCCATCTTGATCTCACGGTTATTCTGGCCATTCTTTGCCAATAGAGATATAATGAAACTGTTAAAGATCAGTCTTTGGAAAATTCTGATATGGTCGGAATCAGATCGGTGTCTAACAAAAGTTTTTAAAAAAGAAGAGAGCTTGTTATGAAGCATACGTGCAAGGTACAGCGGGCTTTGACGGTAATTCCGGCATTTATGGTACTTCTTTGTAGGCCAATTCTGAAAACCTTAAATAATTGTTCTGTTCACATCGTTCTTGATGAACTGATCCCAAAGAGAGCATTTCTGACCACAGTCTCTCGATTTATCTATAACTTTCCAAACAATATTGTCTTCTTAGTGAGAGATAAGATTATTAGTTCAGCAACTGACTTTAAAGGCATTCGTCTAAATGTTTGTCTCATGAGACAACTTTCTACATTTTTTTCTAAAATATATGCTCTTATATAGCAGAATTACGGCAACAGCTGTGATTGTTGTGACAGCATAGGTTTTTAGGTTAACCGTGAAAAAAGAGATCAAAGAAGAACCAAAGTGGCTTTCAGGTACATTATAAAAAACGGAACAGACATGACAGCTTGGCGAGGGATGGTGTAATCTGCTAGATGTCAGATAAAAGTTTCTTAGATTGGTCAAGTCAGATTACATTTGAGCGGAGTTTTCGAGAAAGACGAAAGATGAATAGAACTATTGGGTTATAAAATATCGGTTTATGAAGAGATTTTTATATAAAAGGATATCATCAAATACGTTCTTATCAAGCGAGTTGTTTAGGCGAACGTTACAAAAGCAGCAAGTGCGGTATGCAAATTTATCAGATTTTAGAGGAAAGGTACAATATCGGCTGAGATTAGGACCCGATGTTCACGTGTTTTATTTCTCCAATTTTCAACGCATTATTACCACTTCTCTAGTCTTTTATTATGTCTGCCTTCTCTTTAATAGAAATCATGACTTGTATTAGAATCCTCGATCTGATTCATGTTTTAATAAATGCTATTAGAGATTTCCTTTTTCTTTAAATGTCTTACTGGAAGATCGCACGTGTTGTTAAGCGTGTAATTTCAATAATTTCAGTAGTTTACTGTTGTTTCTTCAAGGACTCCACCGATCGTGTAATGTTTTTGTACATGTAGGCTTTATTGAAATTTTTGACTGTAGTCAAAATAAAGCGTAAAAACAAATCCGTTTATATCAATGCATCCTCTGAAAGACGCAGGTAGACTATAGATATTTTTTCAAGATCTCAAACTGAATGGTTTGACAATTTACCAAACAGTGTTTTATTAACCGAAACAGTGGTAGATTAAGGTTATTATACAGAAAGCTTCAAAAAAGGCTGTGAATGAAATGGTAAAGCATCAAAGGTCAGTAATTGCTATAGTTTACAACAGAGTCATTAAGGATTGACATCAGCACCTTGTTGTCCCATTTGAGTTTTATGAGTTTGGAGGGTTTGTGAAATTGAATACTGAATTGTTATTGAAAGTGAACGAATAAAGTAGGACTGCAGTACAGCAAAATTCAGAGCATTCAAGGTTAAAGTTGCCTTTTGTTTAGAACAGAACGTAAACATTGAAACAGTGAATGACCGTTATTGTCTATTAGCAAAATTTTTGGTCCAAGAAAGCAGCTTAAGATGCGAAACGTTGCTAAAGTGCTGATTTTGAGAGGGAAGCTGATTTTACTGGAAAATTTTTCCGCTTATTTTCTAGAAGAAAAAGTGAGATGAAAGCGTGAAAAGTGGTTAAAACTTGTGAGCATTCTTTACTTGTATAAAAACAGTTTTTGAGGCAATATGAAACGTATGAGTTTGTCTGCGGTGGTTTTGTAGTTTAAGAAAATAAAGGCAAAGAAATTATTGCAAACTGTTTTAAGGCTTCTGAGTTGAAGGTGCTTTACTATCATATTTTTTCCAATTTTGCTTACTGGATATGACTTTACTTACTGAGTTTGTTAATAAGAAAAATCTGTTGTTATTTCCGTATGGCAATTGGGTTGCTGAAAGCAGTAGTATAGTTGGTTGTATGGGCAGACGTTTGCAGTGTTCTGTGGGACTTAAATGGGCCGTTTTTAGACATCACCGGACCTTAAATGTCCATTTCTCTTCTTCTTTAATGGTAGTCAATAGAGCGTAAAGTTGTTGATAATTTTTCAAAATTTAAAAGGCAGTCAGTTTTGATTGTTTAGGATCTAAACAAGCAGTGTATTACTCATAAAAAGTTTTAATAAACAGCTACAGTTTCGTTTCTCGCGAGATTATATCATTCGCAAAGATCACATTTGTAATCGTTACTTTAGTGTCTTTAGTGCACTTTAGCAGGATGGCTGTAGAAATACTATTCGATGGCAGTAGTCTAATGAACAAATTCGGCGAGTGCTTATTCCTTTGACCAAACAGTAAAATTTCGGAATTTTTCACTGAGTCTTAGAATCACTGTTATGCTGTAACTAAAACGTTGAAAAGTTAAGATATGCATTGGTTGTAATGCGTACTATAGTTTGTGTGCTGGTTGTTTGAAGCTTTATTATGAAAAATTTCCCAAAGTAGCTTTCGAAAGATACTTGAAAATGGCAATGTTCGTTATCACTGTCAGGTGAAATACTTTTTGACTGGGTCAACTCACTTTTGCCTGACGTCTCTGATAATTTAACTTATCCACAGAGTTTGTAAATTCTCTGCAAAAATTTTTAAACGGATGTTTTGATCGAAATGTGTTGCCAAATAGTAGAATTTAAAAAGGGCTGCAACTTCAATAATTCTTGCAAAGATCAGACAGCATTATCACAGTTACGCGAACTTCCAAGAAAATTAGACAAAAAAATTTTCAAAACTTGCTATGTTTGCAGATTTTTTATTCTGAAGCGGTCGTTGAAAGTCTCGTTAAACTCTGCTCAACCAGAATTAGCTATGGACCGTAAGCTACAAGCAATTGCTTCTGAATAAAACCAAGTAAAACTGTCCACTATCAAGAGGAAATGTTATGTGGTTAACAGTATTAAGTATTTTAGTATCAATTTTAAAAAAAAGCTTCAAATCTGTATCGGTCTTTTGGACCTAAAATTCAGGAAGACTTGAAAAAAGGTTGTCAGGTTGAATAACTTCCAGCATCAATTTTGTTTCACACAGTTCAGTAACGCCTTCAGACGATTCAGAAAATCCTCTATAATTAGCATGGTGCCACAATACATAGCAGTTAAAAAAACCTAAATTTTCAAACTTAATGATAGGCAGGAAAATAAACTTGTCTAAAACCAATACACGTACACTCTTTTTAAATTCCACTGGAAGGAGGTTACTTTAAACGTCTCTCTCATTGTAGGTACAAAAAAATTTATAAACTTCCTACCAAAATTTGATAAACCGTTTTTTCGTTAACACACAGTCCAGTTTTTTTATAATATCACTTTTAGTTTGGGTTTCACGTGAAGACCGTACCACAAAATCAGGTATGGCATTACGAAGCCTTCCAAGAAAAGATTATGTGATGTCAGCACGAAAGAAAAGAAGAACTTCAATATATGACAGAAAAAACGACGATGGAACTAAGGTTTTATTAAGCTCAAACCAAAAAAAAACAGGATAGTAAGAGAACCTATGGTAGCAGTGGTTGAAATCACGAGTACTCATTTCGTCTAACCTGTCTTGCTTAATGACTTTTTGGAAAACCACGTGATATTAACTACTAGGTATGAAAAACTTTTTATTAGAATATTTATGTGAGCGAATTAATTGTCAAAAGCTGGCTATAATTTTCTTTTCCTAATTACAGACTAGAAGTGTAAAACCCGTATCAAAAAGCCGAGAAACTGCCCAAAAATCAAAGATCTCAACTCATTCAACTCCCTTGAAACGCGCTGATTTCCGGACGTTTGATTCATCGTTCAAGAGGTGCCCTTTGTCAAGAGACGCCACGCCCGAGCGCGCAGAAATTATAAAATCAAAAGAAAGTATCCAGAATACCAATAAGCCCATATCATTCCTAAAAATTACTTCGAAGATGTACAAAGCCAGCGAATCAGACGATGGAGATACCGAACAAAATAATGTTCATGTTTACGTTCCCGTAACGACTAGTGAAGGTGAGACAGTGATTAGGAGTGATTCAAAGCAAATTGCAATTCGAACCATAAGCTCTCGATATCTGCTTTTTAACTTCTTCAACGGAATCTTCATTTCGTTCCTCGGCGGATGTTCTCGCCTTTTTACAAAACTTAGCAATGTACTGCCGCGGTTTTGGGACCGTAACTTTCCTGATATCAGTGCTCGCAATCCTGTTTAATTCTTCGATTCATAATTTGGTAACATAATTAAGTGACACAGGCTACTAATCACTTTTCTAAATGACAATTTTAAAGCATACAAGTCCAACCTGTGTCAGCAACTAGCAGAAATACAAATTTTATGCCTGAGAACCCATTTCTGGTAATGACTCTACCATCATTTTGTTTCCAATTCACATGCCCTCTAACACTGTTCCTCAACGCACCTAATGTCTAAATAAAGACTTATAAACAGCACGACTTAAGGATGCATCACGAATATTATTCGATAAACAGTCCTTGCTCCTTAAATTTTTATCACTTTCTAGTATGCTTTCAAGATTCTTTGAAGGCAAAACATTTTTAATCCTCTGCCCACTAACAGCTTCCAAATCTTTCACAAAAAATGGTTCAGTTTTACCAAGTAAGTAAACTTCGCTAAAAAGTTATCACTTTTTGGTACAAAGAACCATTATCCTAAAAGAGTTTTAAATACTTTGCAGTTCCAAACTTCTTGGACAGAAGAAGCAAAAATAGTAAGAAAAACAACAGAATTACTCAAACAAAAAAGAAGAGCAAAAAGACAATAAATAGGTGATAAATACAAAGACCAGGAGATATTAACAGGTGTCTCTGGAATACCAACAGTCCAGAAACAAATAAGCAAATTAGCAGAGTTCCGCTTCAGTTTAGTGTCCTTACTGCTTCCACTGGTTGTAACGAAACAGAGGCACACTTATTACAATTACTGTTCATTGGCTTGATTTGCTGAATAGAAAATGGGTGTAGCAAACTAGAAGAGCAAATCCAAAAAGCATTAACGCAGATTCAAATAAAACTAAAAATGAATACTGACTTACGACAAGATTAACAAACCCGTAAGAAGCAATCAAATTCAGAAAAAAAACTGAAAAAAATAAAAACACATTCAGTACGACAAAATTAATACGAAAAATCTTGATAAAATGCTAACCAAAACGAACTAAAAAACCTCATTTTTAACAATTAAAAAGTCAAGTTGAAAGATGTGGTATGTAGAATAACATTGAAAAGAGCTAGACAGAAATTATCCGTAACTTGCAGCAACAATTAAAAATACTGACAATTATAAAATTTTGAAATGTAGACGCTCAAACCGAACGAGAGTATCACAAAAATATTCAAATAAACAAAACTAAGTGAGGTTAGAAATGGTAACTACTACCCTTATAACCCCCTTCCCATTACAGTTAAATTATACAAGCAGCATTTGAAGCAAATATATACATAAACTGTTATAACGCCTCGAAATCTTAAAGCCTAAAATCGAGGATTTGATTTTATTTGTGAGAGTACTGTATCGTCATCATCAGAATCGTCTTCTTCCGATGATGGATAGTCCATGCGCAAAGGTTTAAAACCCTAAAAGTATCTCTCTCCTCATATTATACAGCTTTTATAGCGAAGAAGAGCAAATAATTATTTAAATTACTTATCTCTTCAGAAGAGTCAGAAACAAGTAATTTAAAAGCGAAAGATTTCTGGAAAATCACCTCTGATCAACGACTAACAAGTGTCAATATCAATTAATAAGTGTAAATAAACAAAGTTTGAGTTGGAACTACTGCGATAGACTAAAAAATCAATTCTTACCGCGCGATCTAGAACTGAATGTTGAGGCCCACTCCTGTATAAGCCTCTGTGGCGAGATATCGAAAAACCACCACCAATAACTCCTAATGCGACTAATACCAACACGATAAACATATATTTATGCTTCGAGGTGCCTGCAACGATCGTGGATCACATGTCACTTCTGGTTATACTAAATTTTCAGATCCTGAGACTTCAAGAAACAGCAAACTGTGACATCCTATCATGTTTTGCATGGCATCCCTCTTACCTTAGATATCAAAATCATTTTACTTCTTCATAGACAAAAAACACAGTTAGTACAGGAGTCACTCAAAATTCCTTGAACATACAACTAATTCTCCCGTAAAGTTTAATATACCTTTAGAAGACAGTGCACCCTCAGGCAAATCTTCCGACTCCTGTAACCCATCAGCATTCTGACCATGAATCTCAAACTAGAAATAAGAATGTTAACGGCAGAAATAACTTTAAAACTGCCTCTGCAATTATGAAACCTCACTTGTAATACTCTTCCCCTAGCATTTTTTGTAGTTTCTCCAACATAAATGAATTTCTTGTCCGGCGACACACGTATGATATGAGTCATTTGCAACTTAACATCCGTTGGAATATAAGAATAAAGTAAAGTGTGTAAATCAGCCTTTGCGCAAAAAATATGGCTATTTTCCTCTGTCCCAGGTACAAAATACACATCCCCACCTGAAAATTAAGTATTTTACGGAACACCAACAACAAAAATCAAAATTAATAGCTTTGCAGCTAATTCAAATTAATAAATCAAGAAAAATTTAATTTTGCTAGTTTAAAGCAAAATTCAAGGCACAGTTCTTATTCTCAAACTGAAATTTGGGCACTAATAAAGAGTGGGAGCAAAAACTTTACTCATAACAAAGATTACACAATTACTCGTAAATCTGAACTGTGTTTGTAAGCGCAAATGTGTGGTGCCATTGAAATTCTAACCAATATAAATATTTACTAAGTTTTCACTCTTGCACAATAATTTAAAATTGTACAAAAACTTGAAAAAACATACCTATATAGTGAGCTGAGTACAGTTTTTTAAATAAAGTTTGATTTGGGGGGTTGCTTATTTCCCCAATAGCCCCACCATTTGAGTCAAAGATCTGCACGCGAGCATTTTCGCGATCAGCTACATAGATGCGCGACCCTTCTTCATCAACCGTAATATCATGCGGCAGTGCAAACAAGCCAAGTGTTCCTCTCCCGACGGGATACGGACCGTCAACTGGACAAGAGGAAGATTAGAAAATAAACTGAGAAGCTAAAGAGAATTCATGAAAGTAAGAAAACATACTACTGCTGTCATAAGGATCGCCCCAGTGGGTAAGATATTTTCCATTAGAAGCAAACTTGACTATTCTGCTGTTACAGTAACCATCTGATACATATATAGAACCGTCTTTTGGTGAAGTAGCTACCGCAGTAGGCAAACAGAAGTGTTCAAGATCCCCACCAGGGACAAATTTTGTCCCCAAAGTAAAAAGTTCTTTCAAGCTTCCTGAAAGTCAAAACTCTTCACTTCTTTCACCCTTTCAATGGTCATTTCCAAAAAAGAGTCAATGTTCATTTCAAAAGAAAAAAAAATTATTTCTTTGAAAAAATTATTACAGGGAAGTCCACTTAGTAGACCTAGAAAATAAAGAAGTATTCTACTCAAACAAACTTACAAAATTACTTAACATGTAAATGAATGTTAAAAAGGCAAAGATACATCATTTATAATGCTTTTTTATATCAGTAACACTGTAGTATTATAAAAATTTTTATTACTTGCAGTAATCTTCCATTTCGTGACCAAATGTGCACCAACGTCGGTAGTAAAGTACTCATTTTTATTATTTATGTGTATTCCGTGCGGCAAGAAAAACCTTAAATAAAATACATGCTGATTTTCACGACTTAATAAAACAGTTGAAAAAAAAACTATGCAAAAAAAACCGACTGATTTTTGCCATACTCTGCTACCCGACTTAGTTGCTTCCCTTCTAGTTTCATCACCCATACCGTACTGCCCTTTATAGGTGCCTTATCAACAAAGTTTCGAGACCCATCGAATGATCTAAAACTCTACAAGAAAGCGATGAAAAGATGGTCAGGAAAATCTTGCTTTGATGAGAAAAATAAAAATAACCTTGCAAAACGTAGTGCTGCATTGAAATTTATTGAAACTTTCTATAAATCTTAAGATTTTATGTAATTGAATATTTCAAAAACTAACCGTTCAGACCATTTTCGCTCTGCACGATGAAAAATAACTAGATTACCGAAAGGGTCGAAAGCCAGTCCTGATACTTGACCCAGATTTTCGCCCTCGTTTTCATCTAGGACGAATCCTTCAGTAATTCCTGTAAATCATTCCTTTAACCTGTAGTTTAATTTACTGGCCTGCCAGCCAATTACGACACATCAAGCAGTGAAATATTGAACAAAGCAAATTTCAGTTCCCCAAATGCATCAAAAGTTTGCATTAACATACCAAATGATTGGCCGTTGTTTTTTGCTTTGTGCTCAAGTTCAGGGTGTAGAGGAAGCCGCGACAATCCTTCAGCAGGATATTCTTTGTTCACCACCTCCTCACTTTCAGCGAGGAAACAAATGCCACCACTTGGAAAAGGATCATCCATTTCTGCGTTCCAATAATACATCATATAAAAGTTACACATCTCGTCAGCACCGGTACTTCTAAAAAAAAAAGTAATACCAGAAGAAAAAAAGAACCAAAATTGAAGTGTGGTAAAGTGCGTACCCCATATATATTGTCTTATTTTGGCCAGTAGAGTCAAAAATACATTTTGCTGCTAATAAATCACCGTTTTTAATAACGATCGGTGATTTAAGAGAATTGAACACTTGTGGCCATTGTGGATTACTTTTGCCAATCATATTCCATCCAGTCTCGTTCTTCAGCGCGGCAGAAACAACTCGACCCATGCTATGAGTATGAGTCCGAAACGCAAACGGAAAAATAGGAGTTCTGCTTCTGCAATGAATAAAATAGCGCAACAGTAATTATACAAAAATATATAACTGTTCAAAGCATGTAGGCAGTACCTGTACGAACAACTCATGTTAACAACGAAATTCTGAACTCGCGGCGGAATGCCACTTTCAAGGCGTTCGCTAACAAAGAGGTAAACTGCCGCGAGATATGGGGGTCGTTCTTCGATATAATCAATTGTTACACCCGCATAATCCAAAACTTTCCCGTTAAACGGGGAAGCATAATGCACCTTCAAAAGTTTTGATCTTTGACAAGCTAAATTTTAAAAGAGGCTTATAAGCAATAACGTGAACAAGTATGGGAAAGTAGATCTAACAGAAAAGAAGTTAAAAACCTGAAGCACGAAATATTTGATGCCATCAAAAGGATGCCCTGCAGAAAAACCAACACCTTGTGGCAGGAATAACGACGGGGCTGTAATTAAAGAACGAATACTACTTCCTCATTTATGCTAATCAGATTAAAGTCTTATTGGCGGATCATTAAACAACAAAGATAAGGTCAATATAATTATAGAGTGAAAGAGTTAAACAACGAAAGCATATAACTTTTATATTCTTCAACTTTGTCACACATTTTTTATTCATTTAACTTTGACAACCCGTGTGAACTACATCTAAAACATCATGTCAGGAAGGAGGAATTGGGAGAGAACTTGAATCACCAAAAATTTTATTAATAACAAACCATTTCTTGCCCAAGAATAGAGGATGTGACCCGGAGTGATGCATGTCTGTCCACCTTTCCAAAACTGATTCTCTTTAAAGGGTTTCCTACATCCATAAAGTAGAATATGATGGACACGACTAGCTTCCGCTATTGGCTCAAAACCAACTGTAAATAATGAAAATTTCTCAGGAAGTTTTTTTAGTTGAATTACTTTGAAAAAAAACAATACCTCTTCAACTTTTTTTTTAAAAAACTTTATTTGAAACATGCAAAAAAGTTTTGGAAAAGAAATTTTTTTTTCAAATTCATAGAATGGGTACTACAGTAACTCTAAAAACACAAAATACAGTATAACTGTGCGCAAATGCAGCGTCAATGACTACACGATGCTATATATCTCAGCCAAAATAAGTGACCACATTAAAACCGTTTCCCCGCATCACTTATTCGCATATAAGCCATCTTAAATGTAGGTAAACAAACAGCAACAACTGCTAAGCACTTATAAAAGTAAACAAACAAAAACGATCAATTACGTGTTAACCTAACAAAAGGACTCACCAATGTAACCTGCCGGAGACAGTATGCTGGTTGCAACATATTCATCATTCTGAAAAGCATTGATCACTAATAATTTTTTTTTTGCAAATAACATATTAAAAACCACCGATCTAAATGTCACAGATGACGTTAAAAACAAAATCACCATAAAACAAAAACCTCAGATCCATCATCAAAGAATAAGTAGACAGCAAATAAGAAAGCACAAATTCAAAAAAAGGCATATATAATTTCTGGAAAATTTGTTAATTGCTTTAAAAGAAATTTATTTGCCAATCCATTTCAGCGGTTAACAACAACATTTAAGAAGCTAAGTACTTTTACTGTA